ATTATTCCCTGAGAATAGATCCTGTTTTTTAAAAAAGATTTGTTTATTTATTAGAGAGAGAATGTGTATGCATATGCATGCAAGCAGGGGAGGGGCAGTGGGAGAGAGAGAGAGAGAATCCCAAGCAGACTCCCCACTGAGTACGGAGCCTGATGTGGGGCTTGATCCCACAACACATGAGATCATCACCTGAGCCAAAACCAAAAGTCAGTTGCTTAACCAACTAAGCCACCGAGGCATCCTGAGAATAGAATCTTAGATGTGAAAAGATTAGATCAACTCTCTTTGATGTCTGGATACATATTTACAAATTACCCCCAGCAGTGAAATCCTCATCAAACTCTTGCCCATTCCTGTATGTAATAATTGTGCATGTGATTGGCAAGTTTCCTAATACAGTTCTTGCAAAATCCTTTTTCGTTGTATTAATATAAAGTTGGCAATCCTTCTGACCATTCCTAGTGGCATAGCTCCACTCGCCACAGTTTCTTCGTGATGGTTGTTTTGGTGCTGCACAGCCATGTGCAGATGCAGCCTTCAGTCCTCAGGAGCTCATACTCTCTGTAACCATCTCAGGCTTCAGCTCACTGACCCTTTAAGCCAGAGAACAGAAATGGATGCCAACAGGAGTTGGACATCTGCTCTTTCTCCAAACATGAAAATAAAAAAATTCATTGGCTCACTTTTATCATCATTTTCAGGTTTTACCTCATTTGTGACTGAAGCTTTTTGGCATCACATTTAGAAAGTTCCACTTTATTTTTCTGTTTTTTATTCATAATTTTTCCTTCTTTCTTCTGTATATACTCTTTTAAAAAAACCTTTTTCTTGAAAAGCATACTTGAAATATCATGAACACCTCAAATGAATACATCATATATTTGAATCATAGAGTGTGATATTCTTTTAACATTTCTGCATTTTCCAGTTGTTTAATAAAGTAATTGTTTATTTTAAAAAAGAGCACTTTCAGCATTAACAAAAAGAAAGGAAGGGAAACACTTGGCCTAAAGAACAAGTCATGTCAACCCAACCTTCTTTCTTTGAGAGAGTTCTTAGACCGATAGAGTGGGGAAATGAAGTAGACAGAGTCTGAGTATCTGAAGTGAGTCTGACCCTATCCTCAAGCTATTTTGGTGGGAAAACACAGCAGAAGGATCCAAGTGCATAAGCAGTTGAGGAAATAAGTAGTTAGATAACCATCCAAAACTTCTGATGAGCAATGAATGCCAACCTGGAAGGCGGATTCTAGTACATGTCACAAATCTTTATCAATGGCATTCTCCAGGTTACCACCTATATTAATGATCTGGATAAAATTATAGAAAAATATGTCCAAAAACTTAGGTATGGTGGAGAATATGATGACAGGCTGTAGCAACCAGATCAAAGAAGATGGAAGTCAATAGGGGAAATCAGTATATGACTCTGTACTTGGATTCCAGAAATACAACCACATTTATGTATGTAGAAGCAGGCAGATTTTTTTTTTTTTTTTGGTGGGGGGAAGGTTGATGGCACATTCATTGTGATCAATGAAAAACTGAGATGTTGGCTATGTTAATAGAAGCCCAGTATAACTAAGGAAAATAGAAAATAGTGATAATCTAGGTAATCATATATTGACAAGACCACATGTAGACTGCTGCTTCCTATTCTACTTCCTTCTCAATAAGAGGGACAAAACTGCAAGATGTTCCAGGATGAGTAGCAATATTGGTTCAAAGGACTTGAACTCTACTCTTATCATCTGAGGAATGGTTGAGGAACATTAATAGAAATGAGAACCATCTTTCAATATCCAGACATCTTTTGTACACAAGCAAGGGAAGACTTTCTGTGGTGTGAGGAACAGAATCAAGACCACTGGGGAGTCATACTTCAAGAGACAGTTTCTAGCATTCAGAGGTGTGCCTAGAGAAAATAGACTCTGCTATAGATATTACAGTTTCTTCTCTACTTCTGGGTGCATGGAGGACTCCATTTCCCCACCTCACAAGTTAGGCGTGGCCATATGACTGGTTTTAGTCGATGAAACTTGAGTCAAGTAACTGTAGCTTCTGATACAAAGCATTTGATTCTGAGTTTCCAACTCCAGCATTCTTTTCTCCTGCCTCAGTGAACAGTGCAGCCTTGTGTTAAAATGGAGGTAGACATGAGCAGACATTTCTCCAAAGAAGACATACAAATGGCTAACAGACACATGAAAAAATGCTCAACATCACTCAGCATCAGGGAAATACAAATCAAAACCATAATGAGATATCACCCCACACCAGTCCGAATGGCTAAAATTAACAACTCAGGAAATAACAGATGTTGGTGAGGATGCGGAGAAAGGGGAAGCCTCCTACACTGTCAGTGGGAATGCAAGCTGGTGCAACCACTCTGGAAAACAGTATGGAGGTTCCTCAAAAAGTTGAAAATAGAGCTACCATACAATCCAGCAATTGCACTACTGGGTATTTACCCCAAAGTTACAAAAATAGTGATTTGAAGGGGCACCTGCACCCCAGTATTTATAGCAGCAGTGTCCACAATAGCCAACATTCATTCAACAGATGAATGGATTAAGAAGATGTGGTGTATATATATGTGTATGTGTACATACACACACACACAGTGGAATAGTACTCAGCCTTTAAAAATAATGAAGTCTTGCCATTTGCAATGATGTGGATGAAACTATAGGGTATTATGCTCACTGAAATAAGTCAGTCAGAGAAAGACCAATACCACATGATTTCACTGTTGTGGAATTTAAGAAACACAACAGATGAACAGAGGGGAAGGGAAAGAGAAATAAAATAAGATAAAAACCATAAGAGACTCTTAACTATAGGAAACAAACTGAGGGTGCGGGAGGGGAAGTGGGTGGGGAAATGGGGTAAATGGGTGATGGGCATTAAGGAGGGCACTTGGTATAATGAGTACTGGGTGTTTATGCAACTGATGAATCACTAAATTCTATCCCTGAAACTAATAATATACTATATGTTAACTAAATTGAATTTAAATAAAATTTGTCTTAATTTAAAAATTAAAAAATAAATGTACCAGCTTTGGTCTCTGAGAACCTACAGTGATTGCAGTATCCCCCAACCACCACCACAACCCCACTTCAGACCTAGTCATGCACCTACATTGGACATGTTGGTTTAAGTGGGAAATACACCTTTAGTGTTTTTAGCCACTGAAGTTCATGGGTTTTATACTTCTGCATAACCCTGATGCAATATTGTGATTTCTTAGATTGTGATTTCTGAATGACAAAAAATATTTCTCATGTGTATTTGGTCTTTGTCCCTGGTTTCTAGCTCACAGTTTCCTCAGTCCTTGGAATTTCCTAAGTGTCAGTGGTGATAAAGGTGTCTTTTGTTATGTTAATGAGGGTGACTTTTGGACCCCACCCAAGGAGGGAGCTGGTTGCCAGGAGGATCAACTTCTGATTAGAGGGTTAGAACATTCAGTCCCATAGTCCCACAGTCCCACCCTACCCCTAGCCTACTGGACCTCTGGGGAGAGGTGAGGGGCTAGAGGTTGAATCAGCCAGTAACCAATGACTAAGTCAATAATGACTATGCAGTGAAGCCCCCATAAAAAGCCAGAAGGACTGGGTTTAGAGAGCTTCTGGGTAGGTGATCACATGAAGATTGGGAGAGTAGCACTTCTTGAAAAGGCATGGAGGTTCTGCGCCCTTCCCCACATACCTCACCCTATACATCTCTTCTATCTGACTGCTCCTTAGTTACATCCTTTTACAATAAACTGGTCATCTACTAACATGTTTCTTTGAGTTCTGTGAGCTGCTCTAACAAATTAATCAAACCTAAGGAGGAGGTCATTGGAACCTTCAATCTATAGCTGGTAGGTCAGAAGCACAGGTAACAGCCTGAGGCTTGCACCTGGCATCTGAAGTAGGGGGTAGGTGACAGTCTTGTAGAACTGAACCCTTAACCTGTGGAATCTGATGCCATCTCCAGGTAGACTGTGTCAGAACTGAGTTGATTTCTCAGAAACCCTGCCAGTATCTGAAGATTGCTTGGTGTTGTAGAAGGGGAGGAACCACCCCCCACCTTCCCCCCACACCACACACACAACAGAATTGGGTCCAAGAACCCTCAAAGACCTGACTAACACAAGTGCCTTCAAGAAACCGTGATTTCTTGTGACGCAGCAGTAGCAGGACACACATTTGATTCTTGAGACTCACACACTTGCATTCTTTGCCTTTTATTTTCATTGCTACACTACATTCAGACTGTTGCTGGAGGTATAGCTTAGTAAACTGGAATTTTTAACTGGTTCTAGGGCCTCCTGGGAGATGATCCGAATAAAGCAGGCTAAAATGATTCTCCTTCTAAACACAGAACTCAACTGCATGCCCAGTAACATCACAGGTTTATGGATTTTGTCCACTTGGGGAACAGCCAACAATAATTAGTTTACCCAGCAAAGATTTGATTGCCACACGAGCACACACACACAACATTAGCCATGAAAACCGTGAGGTTCACCAAAAATCTCGGGACCAAAGTGACTTTTTGAACATGAACTTTGTAGTTTGATTCTTACATGTTCCTATTGACTGAGCTATTGCCAAGGGTCTGTTTCAGCCTGTGCCGATAGATGCATTATTTATTTATATTTTCCCAAAGATGGTCCTGGTGCCATCTACTAACTCATGCCACAGTGTACTCACTTAGTGTCATTGTTAAAGTTGTCCTGTGCTACGCAGTAGCAGTATCATATGTTTATAAGTGGTTCTGTCTGGGGAAGAAGTTTATGAGGTCATGGGAGCCAGGAAGTGAAAGGAACCAAGTATGTACCTAGCCTGAAAAGAAAAGAAGAAATAGAATTAAAAGGTGATTCCAGTGGGGGAAGAAATGGAAAGGACATATTTAAAATTATAATTAAAAATACATATGTATATTTTTTTCTTTATATAACAAACCAAACCTGCAACTAATTAACTGGAACCTCACTTTTGTTGTTCACAGGAGACCAAAATCAACTGCGTTCGCCTGGCTACAAAAGGTATGTTGGCATGTCGTCGTCTGTCTTCAGCTGTTTAAGTATTTCTCCTCCTAGCCACACAGAGAAAGTTGAGCCAGTAATTACTAGAAATAAAAAAGAACTGTTATTTTCACTGGAGTCATTTGCACCTGGGTATTAATATATACTGCAGGTATATATTAATAACACAGTTCCTAAAGCATAGTAAGAGCTCAAAACATATTTGTTGAATCAGTGAATGGATGGATGGATGGATGGACGGACGGATGAATGGACAGACGGACAGATGAATGGATGAATGGACTGGTACATTAATCAGTAGAGTGGTGAATATAAATTTACTCAAATATTCTTCTGCTATATATTTTCATTATATTTGGGTCTGTGTTTATGTGGGTATTTTTTAGGTATGTCTATCAAACCAATCTTCTGAGCTTTGTATTCCTTTCAACTGGGTTTGGCTTTCACAAATGAGGTGATAGTGTCGGTGCCTTTAATAATGAGAAAACAAACAGTGCATTGTTATGTAGTTGGCATTTTCAATACTTATCCCCCAAACCAAGGCAGCATTGTTCAGGCTCATCACTTTTTGTTTTCCTAATTATAATTGAATTGCCTGGCCCTTTCAATTGGTACATGTTTCTGTTTATTACTCTTTAAAAAAAAAAATCAATGAATGGTTTGTTATCATTTAACCTATTACAAGGTTGAATGGCTAGAAATCAGGTTTATCTTTTTGTTATAGAATGGATATTTTTAACAGCCATTCTCTCCATATAAACACACCAAAATTGGAAAATTGTTGTTCCCTGCATTTATTGACAGCCCATATCGTTACATAGGATGCTTCCTCAGAGATGACAGTTACAAATATAAGTACACATATAATCACAGGCATAAACCATGAACGACGATGACCCAAGTGCATCTATACATATGTGACTATATACACGCATGCATACTCATTCAGAGGAAAGTGCACGCGTGTATAGGGGAAGAGGAAGAGCTGAGGGGTGGGGAGAGAGAGAAGGAGGAGAATATCTACGGTTATTTGACAAAATATACATGAAGACCTATCACTCGTGACTTCCAGTATTTTGAAAAAAAGCCAGCTCAGTGTGTAGGCAGAAGACGGAAGATGATACAGGAGGGAGAAGATGGAAGCATTAAGGACTCACCGTGGTAAGAACTCACTCTGATTCCACATAAGTCATGAGAGGCTAGCGTATCCCTCACTTGTTCGCTCTCAGGAACTCAGGCTACTGGACAGAAAGAGATAAAATACTCTTTGTGAGGCAAGGGGAATTGATGGCCTGCAAACAAAAGTGGCACAAATCACAGGCTTTGGCAGACTTTCCCACTGAAGGAAACAGATAATCCAGAAGGAAGAACATCATGAATAGGAGAGCACTAGAGCTCCAGACTGCAAGCAGGACAGCTGAGCGTTTGCTGTGTCCAGCTTAAAAGAGCAGCCAGTAGAGGGAAGGAAACTTAGGGGGAGACCTTCCTCACCTACTGTGATGGTGCTCCGTGGCTCCCCTCCAGCTTTTGACCTCTAGACAAGGGAGGGGTTGAAGCAATTGCTCTGCCATCCATGGGCTTGTGAGATTCTAGAGACACCCTCTGGGACATAAGCTCCCCCTCAAAGGGTAGTTGGTTAGATCTTATTTTCTAAACTGAGAATCAGGAACATGTGGATGGATGGGCAATAGGTACATATGGGGACTTTGCGAGAGAATAATTAAAACTCTACTCCCCTGGCGATTTCAGGATCTACTGAAGGCCCACAATGCCATACTTCTCCAGAGCTGCATTGCTCCTCTGCAGGAGAATTGCAGTGGTCTTTAAAGAGCTAGAGCAGAAAGCTTGTACCTCTTCACAGCATAAGGATTTCTCCTCCTGTTTGACCTTTAGGACACAGTCTTCCTGAGTGGAGTGTGTGCTCATATAGCATGTGGATGTATGGAAGGATGGGAACAAGGTGAATGCCCAGCTAGCTGGCCAGGTGCTAGCCAGGCAGGAAAGAGTCAGAAGTAGATTCCAAGGATTGACACCCTCACTTTCCAGGTCCGCAAGGGCCGTCACTTCAGCCCAGAGAGACAAAACTAGGAGTACCTGGAATTGGACCGAGAGCTGGACAGTGCCAGTCTTGTGGAGTCCAGGGAGTTAGCCCTCTCAGCACTACCTCAGATAAGAAATTACTTGTTGAAAAAAAGCCAAGAAAAAGCAAAGAAAAGGAGACCTGTATTTGGTTAGTGTCATCTCTGTGCCTTGAATTAGCCTGGGAACATCCAGGGTCGATTGAAGGCAAACCCTCTCTAAATCAGTGCACTGCTCATGAGGACTCTGTGTCAAGGATCTAAGGCCAGGAAGCCATATTTGACCCATCTCTTTCCTGAATCAAATTCCCCATTTTGTGGTTTTGCCGAAAACACTTTTCCTTTTAACAGAGGAAAATAAGATACTGGGAATCCTGCAGGCGTCGGAGGTAGATGAAGGGCCAGTAGCATATTCCACTGGCCACCCAGCTCCCTCCACACGCTTCCATGTCCCTGTCATCATGGCCTTCCTTGAGGGGCTGCCAGTGAGCATCCAGCCTCTGGAGTGTGATCACGTGTGCAAACTTGCGGCCACGGCTCTGGTGATGAAGCAGCTGGCTGGTATTCTGTCCCCGACCCTGGTGGTTCCGGATGGTGTCTATAGCCAACTGTGTGAGTCCCGCAGAACTGGAGGGTTCATAGGCAGAATGTAACAGCCCCCAGCACCCAGGCAGGGTCGTTCTGCCCTGACCCCAAGCGCAGCCCCTCTTCTGCTAGATTCCATACCTGGCTCCAGCATGGGGCTCTAACTCTTGCCTGTCTTTAACATCCCTATTAGTCACCCAAACTCTAATGTAGTACTGCCCAGTTTAGAAGGTTGCAAAGCAAGGGACCTGGGTTAGTTTTCTGTGGCTGCTGTACCACCAGCTGAGTGACTTAACAAAATTTCTTGTCTCACAGTTCTGGAGGCTAGAAGCCCGAGGTCAAGGTTATCAGTAGGGCTGGTTCCTTTGAGGGCTATGAGGGAAGGATCTGATCCATGCCTCTCCCCTAGCTGCTGGCAATCTTTGATATTCCTTGTTTTTTCATCTTTCATGGCATTCTCCCTGTGGGCATCTTGTGTCCAGGTTTCCCCTTTTTTATGGGGACTGGTATGGTTAGGTTAGGAGCCCACCCTACTCTAGTTTAATCTCATCCTAAGTTAACTAATTACATCCACAAACCCTATATTCTGAGACATTCTGAATATAGGGTTTGTAGATGTTACATTCAGAGACACTGGGGGTTGGGATTTCAACATATGAATTGGGAGATGGACACATAGTTCAACCCATAGCAGGACCCATACTGTTAGGGGTAGTGTCCATGTGGTTTCCATTGGAGCCTCTGACTATTCTTTATTCATGGTATAATCCCAGTAGCTTTTAAGGGTGTACAAGGAGAGCAGGAACTAGCCCTGTCAGAGGGGGCTCTAGTGGTGAGCTGAGGTTTAGATTTGACTGCAGTTCCCTTGGGAAGCTCAGTGAGGCTGCTTTGGGCAGAGGATCTACAGGTTCTGTGGAAGGAGCCCTGGACAGAGGGTAAACACCGTGGGCCATCTGTACACACTGAATGGCTAGGTCTGTGACAGCAGGACCCCTCTCAGACCCCACATGATGTATCAGGTCCTGATCCAGTCATGTTTCTAAGGTCTGAGCAGGGCCCACCTCCTGAGAGGTAGGCAACAGCACTGCCGGTTGAGAGGATCTCTCTTGAGGAGCTCCTTGGTCTTAACTACTAATTTCCCCATCACATTTTGCCATGGCAGGAAGTTCCTGGCACACTATTGGAACTTCAAAAATGCCTGCTGAAATGAGTAAATGCATGAAGCCAGCATCTCACTATAGTAAGGGTCAGAGACCTTGAAAGTCTCACTTCATCTTCCTGAAACTCAGAGGCACCATATTTAAAGTTATGCCCATCTATTCATTTATAGAATATTTTTTAACACACCTACTACCAGTGCTTTGATGATAAACCTGCTCTTTGTAAAAGAAAACCTCTTATTTATAGTCTTTGTTGATCTCCAGGATATAAATATCCCCACCATGTTCAATCAGGTTACTAATGGTTTAACAACTGGCTTTCAAAAAAGTCAAGAATGTTTAACAGTTAGCTCTAGCAAGCTGGCACAAGCCAGCTCCAGCACATGAAGACCTTTACCCTCCAGTTTGTTAGAGGATCAGGTGATACAGTAAGCGTACGAGTGTTGTACTGCAAAGTGTTTTGGATAAAATTATTGTCGATGTATGTTATTTCCTCTATATAGTCAGCTCGCTCAGCATCTGTGAGCTGGGCACTTTGAAAGGAACTATGGTTTTGTGGTGAATCAGCAGACATGGTTCCTGTCCTCATGGAGCTCACGGTCCAGTGTGGAAACAGACCTTACATGAATGATTTTAACAGATAATAATGGAGTTATGATTGTGATCAGTGCTTCCAAAGAGGAGTGAAATGTACTGCATGGGGACTAAAGTTATCAGTGGTGCCAAAGGCTCAGGCAATAATGGCATATATGGCCCTGGGCCATCATCTGGGGCTCTGCGTCTCTGGAACTGGTATAGTATAGGAGGCTTTGTGTCTCCCTGTCCATCATCACCCCTTCTCACCTAACACTGGGGAATTGCATACCACCAGAACCAAGGGTAGGATTTGGGAGGCCAGCTGACTGAGCACCTCAGACTGTGAGAAGAGCCACACCCCTGGCCCAAAGCCCCTGTAAAGGGCCAAGTCCTCTGTATTTAGAGAGGATTTAGTGGATAGATTCACATATCACCAGGGGACACTATTTACAGAACCACAAATTGAAGGCACAGCTAAGAAGGGACTGTGGGGTGGGAGTTTGGTATGTGCTAGTAAAGGGGATAATTCTAGGATCAGAACAAGCTCACCTCCAAAGCTTTGAAGGCAGTCTTTTTCATTGATGGGGGACTTGTTGGCACT